TGTGTGGCCGTGGAAGGAACGAGCTCGGTGAAGGGGGTCGGTGAGAGGAAGAGCAGGGGAGCGGTGGGAAAGCAGCAAAGCCAGGCCCTGCGACTTTCCAAGGACATCAGACCATTGCATTAAAAAAAATCACCCAGGGGCTTCCCTGGTGGCGCAGGGGTTGAGAGTCTGCCTGCCGATGCAGGGGACACGGGTTCGTGCCCCAGTCCTGGAAGATCCCACATGCCGCGGAGCGGCTGGGACCGTGAGTCATGGCCGCTGAGCCTGCGTGTCCGGAGCCTGTGCTCCACAACGGGAGAGGCCACAACGGTGAGAGGCCCATGTACGGAAAAAAAAAAAAAAAAAATCACCCAGCAAAGGATCAAACAGGATCGTGTGCTAGTCCAGCCCCCGGGCCACCAAGGTGCTCTCAGACGGGGGATGCCTGGTCCCTGATGTGCTCTGGGGATGTTCCACGTAGATCCCACTGCAAGGCTGGCCTGGCGTGGGGTCCCTGGGACTGGATGTCCTGCTCCAGGGCTCCTCCAAGCTCACCTGGCATCCCCCGCCTGCCTGCCCTGTTCAGGGAAAACCCCATGGCTGTGCCCTCACTGTGGGCCGGCCGGTGCTCACAGGAGCCCTGGCTAATAATAATAGCCCAGCTCTGATGTCAGGAGCTCTGAAAGTCTGCTGCAAACTTCTCCCAAGACAGCCAGGAAGACATTCCAAGGAAAACTGATGCTCCTCCCTGACCTGCTGGTCTGACCCTGGGTCTCGCTTATCACCTGTCTGGCGGAGAGGGGGCTGTAACCCAAGAACGGGGTGCCTGGCTTGTCTCTGGCTGTGTCTGGGGCCCTGACCTGGGTCGGGGCCGGGGGAGGGCCTAAGTTTGGTTTTCAGCAAATTTTGCAAAACCAACCCCTGCCGTGCACATACTGGGACAGGCTGCTTCCTGAAAACACAGGCCTGCTTCAGCAGTGCCATACCTTGCAGAAGAATTCACAGAGATCTGGTGGTGGATGGTTGTTTTCCAGCAAAGGAGCGATTGCCTGAAAGAAAAGGAACAAACGTCAGTCGGAATCTCTTGGAAGGAATCGTAGGGGTGGGGGTGGGGGTGTCTACGTAAGATGGTTAACTCACGGTGGAAAGCACAACCTCCTTGTCACCCTCTGGGCAAAAAAGCCATCCTCTAACTTGCCGGCCAGAGCTCCTAAATTGTGTGTGTGTGGGGGGGTACGTGGCTCCTACTGCGAAGCTGATAAAATCTCTGGGCCGCCCCCTAGAAAAATATCCATCTGTAACGATGCATGCAGCTTTAGGGGTTTCACGACCTGCTGATGACCATCCGCGTCCCCCGTGGATCCATAGTGCCTGCCTACAAGGCAGGACGCGTGGTGGTTATAAGCCCAGGCTTTGGGGGCAGAGTCCTGGGTGCAAGTCCTGCTTCAGGCACTTGCTATGATGTGACCATTAGAGCAAGTTATTTCATCTCTCTTAACCCTGTGGTCCCCACCAGGAAGGTGGACCAGAGAGCATCACTTTGAGGGTGAGCGGAGGTAATCTGTGCAGAGAAGGCTTCTTAGCCTGGCCCTGTGAGCACCTGGGGCTGGCCCTTACTTGCAGCGCAGCTGTCCTGTGCACTGCAGGATGGCTGGTAGCATCCTTGCTCTCAACCCCCAAGCCAACCATGACAATCAAAACTGTCTCCAGGGCTTCCCTGGTGGCGCAGTGGTTGAGAGTCCGCCTGCCGACGCAGGGGACACGGGTTCGTGTCCCGGTCTGGGAAGATCCCACATGCCGCGGAGCGCCTGGGCCCGTGAGCCATGGTTGCTGAGCCTGCGCGTCCGGAGCCTTTGTTCCGCAACGGGAGAGGCCACAACAGTGAGAGGCCCGTGTACCGCAAAAAACAACAACAACAACAAAAAAAACCTGTCTCCAGATGCACTTCATTTTATATTAAGGGAGGTTAGAATTTCTAATGCCCCTTGAATTCATTCCTCACCGAGCCTTTTTTTTTTTTTTTTTAATTTTTAAAAAGGTGGCTGCGCTGCGTGGCATGTGGGATCCTAAGTTCCCCGACCAGGGATTGAACCCGCACCCCCTGCATTGGAAGTGTGGAGTCCTAACCACTGGACTGTCAGGGAAGTCCTACCACCGAGCCTTCTTAGGCCAGCTGTACACTGTTACCTGTTCCCACTGCCATTCCTGTGCAAGGTTCCCATGGCTCAGATGGTGTTTGATTCTTGAGTTTTCTGCCCCTTTCATAATTTCTGTTTTAATGATTTTGCTAAATTTCAAACACAAATAAAAAATTGGAACAATGGAAAAAAAGCTATGTCCAGACATCGCCAAATTCCCCTTGGGGGACAAAATCGGCCCCAATTGAGAACCCCTGGTGTAAAGTGCCTCTCCCAGCCTGAGGTAAGGCCAGCTCTCCATAAACATTCATTATGGGATGGATGGTTAATGCCTATGTGAAGTCCACTCGTTGTGGACTGGTCACAACATTAGGAAACGGGGGACCCAGGACCCAGTTCCACACTGGTCACAACATTAGGAAACGGGAGACCCAGGACCCAGCACCGAGACTGCCAGGCTGTGTGACTGAGTGAGCAGCTCGGCCTCTCTGGACATTTCGTCTTCTAGTCTACAAAACGTGGAAAACTAGAGTTACCAATTCACAGGGTTGCTGGGGGGAGGTGATGAGAGAAAACTCTAGAAGCTTTGGTGTCTCAGGCTTGGGATAAGCCCACTGCCTGGAGTACAGTTTGTCACTGACACCAGCACAGGGGGACCGTACTGGACTCGCCTGACTCCTCAGGAAGGCTCTGTGATGACAGGGTCTCCCCATCACTGAGCCCCATAGCCCAGACCCTGCCTGCCTGGTTTCAGAGGGTCTCCTGGCTCTGCTCCCGCAAGCAGGGCCTTTGGATGTGGGTGCGTACCCCTCGGTGAGGGCTTCCGCCTGTCTCGGGACTGTTATGGGAAGGAACACGTAGCTCGATGGCAGTAGGGGGATGACCACCGGCCCACCTTCCCCATTATGTGGAAGACGAAATCATCAAAAGCTGAGTCTCTGCTTCACAGCAGCAACGGTCAGGCTGACCAGCAAGTGGAGATGGGGCCCAGGGTCTCACTCGCCTAGGGCTAGGCGGTCCAACATGGTAGCCACCAGCCACGTGTAACTCTTCCCGTTGTAACTGACATGGAAGAAACGATTTCTTTCTTTCTTTCTTTTCTTTTTTTTGGCCACCCTCCATGGCTTGCGGGATCTTAGTTCCCCAACCAGGGATTGAATCCGTGCCCCCTACAGTGGAAGCGCGGAGTCTCAACCACTGGACCGCCACAGAATTCCCAAGAAACGATTCTAAAGGAAATGAAATTGAAAGTGCAGTTCCTCAGACGCACTGACCGCATTTCCAGTGCTCACCGGCCCCATGAACCTAGTGGCCGCTGCAATGCCCAGCGCAGATGGAGAGCATGTCCATCACCACAGGCAGCTCTCCCCGACGGTGTGGGAAGGGGGCTGGTGGGCTCCGACCAGACTGCAAGGCTGAGCCCATCACCCTCTCACAATCCCCCGCAGCTATGTGGACCAATCATTACACTGATGATAATAATATACCAACAGCCACACCCACAATAGCCGTAGCTGTTGCAGGCACTGCCTGTGCTGGGCTCTGGGCTGTGTCACGTCACTTAATCTTCACTGTGTGCTGGGAGCGGGGTGTGCGTCTTGCCCTCTCCTCAGAGAGATAAAGTCTGCTGCCCAAGGTCGCATGGTGAGAATGTGCTGGGGCCGGATTTGAAGCCATGTGTGTGACCCAGGAGCCTGAATTATTCCCCATGCTACTTCTCAGCCCGGGCTCTCCACACGGCCAGGAAACAAGCAACCCATCTCGTGACAACTCCATAGGAGGAGAAATGGGGCAGTGAAAGACGATGAAACACCCCAAAGTAGGCCGGGCCCACAGTTCGGGCTCTGCACGCTCATTTTCAGAAGTTCAGCGCCCAGCCTGTCAGGTGGGAACTCTCTGCTGCCCATGCTGGTGAACGCAGGGAGAGGTCAGGCCACAGCATCGGTGGCGGGGCGGGGCAAGGGCCTCCCCCAGCCCTCGAGTCGCTGCCTGGCCCGCGGCTCTGCTCCCCACACTGAGCTCTGGGACCACCTCTGGGAGGAGGGATCACGTGCAGGGTGTATCCTCCTGGCTTCAGCCCCTTCAGTCAAGCTGGGCCCACCTCTTTCACAGGGATGAATCAAAGAATAAAGGAGAGGGAACAGATTAAGCGCCCACAGTGGGCGTCAGGCGTGGGCTCCGCGCTTCCACAGCTATTATCTCATTTGATCCTCACGACAACTCTGTGAGGTCAAGCGGTAGTGATTTCCATTTGTACAGATGAAGAGACAGAGGGTCAGGGAGGTTGTTACAAGGCCTGCCCCAGTCACAGAGTAAGGATCATTTTAGATCGTATTATTAATAAGAAGATTTTATGTTTCTGTGGCATCTTGCTGTGAGCCTAGCCCTCTTCCAAGCATGTTCGGTGTGTTAGCCCATTTAACTTTCCCAGCAGTCCTGTAGGAAATGGCACTGTTATCACACACATTTCATAGATGAGGGGACTGAGGCTTAGAGTGTCAAGTTAGCTGGAAATGATCTGAATGGCCATCTGGTTAAATACAAATACTCTAGAGCCAGTGGAAAGAATGGAGTATGGGGTAGAACAGTGGTTCTCAACCAGGGTCAGCTCTGCCCCCCTCCCAAGGGATATTAGCAGGTGTGGAGACAGTACGATCATCACAACAGGGGAATGCTGGGTGGAGTTCTAGTGGGTGGAGGCCAGGGATGCTACCCAACATCCTACGATGCCCAGGACGGCCCCACCACAAACCATCACCCATGCCCAAATGTCACTAGTGCCGAGGGTGAGAAACCCTGGGTTAGACACGTGCTTGCACGTCTTGACTTGAAAGAATCTTCAAGACACGCTGTTAAGTGAAAAATCGAACACAGGACGACACATCAAGCTTCGCATCTTTAATGTTAAAAGCAAAAAATAAAAACACAACCGTGTCTGTCTCCATGGGTTTGCCACCCCACGAAAACCTCCAGGGCTGCCTCTGATGGGGCCGCTGGGATGGGGTGAAATCTTTTTTTTTTTTTTTTTTAAACAATGAAAATATGCTCATGAAATCCTTACAAAAGTACTTTAAAGAATATTTTAAAGATATTTTAAGTGAAATTAAAAGCTCTTCCATTACTCGCCCAAGGTCACAGCTGGTAGGGGGTGAGCCCAGGGTCTGCACTCAGCTCTGAACTTGAACCACACTCAGCTTTAAGCCCACGTTCTTCACCAGCACGTGGGAACGCCGCCGGAGTCTGGACTCCAGGTCCACGCTTGTCCAGTGACACGCCAGCTGTTACCAGCTAACAATTACCCACGGCACTGATGCCTGACTGATGGGTTGAATAAAACCAACTTAAATTACTTGTGAAAGTACTTTTGAAAAATAAGTGCATAAAAAACAAAACAGAAACCAAGCCCCACTGGGAGAAGACTAATTGCCAACAGGTCAAATCAGAAAATGTAATGGCTGGAACGAAAGGAGGCTACAGAAGCCTTCACGATAATAACAGCACTGGTAATAGAGAACACTGAAAGCAAGGCTGTAAAACGGGCGGCTGAGGGTCAGACCCTGAGTTCAAATTCTTCCCTGTTCTCAGGCATCCCCACTGAGCAGGGAAGCTCAGCCCAGTCCCATTAAGGGGTCAGCCCAGTCAAATTAGCTGAATAAATGCAGGCTGGATTTCTCAGATCACAACTCCTTTCCCAGGCTCCTCCCAAGTCCAATGCCCTGACCCTCCTTCCAGGGCTGAGGTGTACGGTGGGACCCACAGATGTTGCCAACCAGGAGGGGAAGATGCCAACTCCTTCCCCGGCACCTCCCAAGTCCAAAGCCCTGACCCTCCTTCCAGGGCTGAGGTGTACAGTGGGACCCACAGGTGTTGCCAACCAGGAGGGGAAGATGCCAACTCCTTCCCCGGCACCCACGTCCTTGCCTGCTTCTCCACCAGCGAGAGTCTCTTTGCCTTTGCCTGTGCTGGGCTCCCTGCCTGGACTGCCTTTCCCAGGAGCATCCTATCCACCTGTTAAGACTCAGTTCACTTACCTCCTCCTTGAAGCGCTCTTCCATCCCCCTCCCAGTCCCCTCCCTGAGAGAGGAGGTCAGGTGCCTGCCCGCTGTGCTCCCCTAACACCCTGAACAAATCTCAAGCCCGGACCACGTGATTTCTGGATTATCTGTCAGGTCCCGCCAGCACACAGTAATCCCTCAATGGTAGCTCTGTCTGTGCAACAGAGACCAGCGTCTGGCACCTACTTGTCCTCACACGTCAACGAATGTTTTGTTAAGTGAATTTATTAATTAATAACATGCCAGAGAAACGTGGTGGTGGGTGACTGGGGAGGTCCAGGCTGATGCTGCCCCTGTTCTAGCAAGAGGAGGCAATGGGTGGTCAGAGCAGAGCATGGGAAAAACCTCTATATTCTTAGCAGACACCCACTGAGCAGCTGCTATGCGCCAGACACTGCGGTTGGGACACCACAGAAGCTGCTGCCTTTACTCTCCAGGATAAAAGCCCTAAGGCTCACCTCCTTTGGAGCCCACAGGACCCAGCTGCAGCATGGAGGGTGATTCTCCAGGCTGGGCTGACCAGGGCCAAGTGGGTGGGCTCCCGAAGCCCTAAAGCAGCTCAGAGGGGCACGGTGTCTGGGATGTGGCCCTTGTGTCAAAGGCTGCAGCTGCGGGACCTCTTGGGCAGGTAAATGTTCCAGGTCCTTTCCTGGGCACACAAAGCTCTGCCTCTCACTTCCATTTCAAGTTCTGCCTTCCTGCTTCCTACTTCCTTAGGCTTTATGCTCCAGCAATGCTGAAGCTTCCAGAATATACCAGGTTGCTTTAAATCTCTGTGCATGGGACTTCCCTGGTGGTCCAGCGGTTAAGACTCCGCACTCCCAATGCAGGGGGCCCAGGTTCGATCCCTGGTCAGGGAACTAGATCCCACATGCTGCAACTAAAGATCCCGCACGTGGCAACAAAGATCCCATGTGCCATAACTAAAGACCCGGCGCAGACAAATAAATAAATATTAAAAAAAAAAATTCTCTGCATGTTTTGTTTTCTCTCTCTGGAAAGCCCTTCCCCTGTTTTGCCATCTGGCAAACTCCCATTGATCCTTCGAAACCCGGCTCAGACATCATTGCCTTTGCGAAGCTCTCTGGCTTCTTTCCCAGGTGAGTTTATCACTCTACTCTCTATGTTACACGCCTCTTATTTTTGCAGTGATCTCATTTAATAGACCAAGAACTCCTTGGGTGCAGGGGCCATCTTAGTTACCTGTGGATTCAAATACAGAGCTCAGTGCTTGGCACCCAGTAGGTGCAACTTCATTTCTTTCTTCTCTCTTGGGAGAACCACTTTTCATAGTTTAAAATCACCCAGGAAGATATTTTACACCAAAGATGCTCACATCAAAGTCAAGTCCCAGAAACTACCATCGCACTTTGCACATCAGAGGGAATTCAATCCGGGTTTCTAGGTGTGGATTAATTGGGAGCATGTCCTGGGGCAAGGAGGAGAGAGTTTACCTTTCAGCTAACAGGGTTACGGGCTGAGAGTAAATTATACGGTCTCTGCCATCTCCGGCCTCCTCTCCCTGAGACCGACTCGGGAAGGAGGAGGCGATTAAGGCACATTTGCTACCAACCTCAGAGACTGATAATTACATCCCCCCAATCAACTGGGGCTCTGACACGTGCAAAGGCAGGAGGGAGACATGTCTGGCCTGATAGAAAAGACAAAATTGAGCAAGGCCACCGTGCTGGGGGATGATGCTGGCGTTTCAAGAGTTCACTCAAACCAGGGGAGGCTTGTGGGCACAGGAGGTGGGCAGAGGGAGAGGGGCTGCCCGGGACTTACCACAATGATGTTTTCATGCTCTTGGGTAGTCAAGTTTGTGTTCTGAAGGATGAGCGGAGAGAGCAGGAGGAAAACAAAGCAAAACACACTATTAATAAAATGGAAATTGGGAGATTGGGACTGACACATACACACTACTATATATAAAGGAGAGAACTAATAAGGACCTACTATGTAGCACAGGGAACTCAATACTCTGTAATGGCCTATATGGGAAAAGAATCTAAAAAAGAGTGGATATATGTACACGTATAACTGATTCGCTTTGTTGTACAGCAGAAACACATTTTAAATCCACTATACTCCAATAAAAATTAAATTAATAAATAAAATGGCACATTTGCATCTCAAAGGTCCATGCAGTTTCAAATGCTTTCAGCCTCTCGGACAGAGGGCACTTGTCACTTTTTCTTAATTAAATAGATCAGAAGACCCTCAAAGGCAGGGTCGGAAGCAGGGGAAGGACGGCTTCGGGGCAGGAAGAATTGAGTTCCAAGTCCCTGTTTCACCACTGGAGTGACGTGACCTTGGACTAGTCACTTCTCAGTGAGACAGTTTCTTCTTCCGTAGATGGGGCTCCTCCTTGGGCTTAAACTCATGCTTGGCCCTCGTCATAGTGACACATGCCACTTGGAAGGCCGGAGGCAGCTTCATAATAAACATGTAAAGAAACAGATTTTCGGGCCTTGACTTTGTGCCGGGTAGTCTTTGGGGAGCAGCACATGGAATATTTCAGTGGTTCCCAAACTAGGTTCCCAGGGAACACTAGTGTTCCATGAGTTGGCCCAAGATGGTCTAGCTATGTTTAAATTCTAGCAATCAACTTGCAAAAATATTAAGCGGAATGGATTAAACTTGCTAAATTTCTAGGGTTTTTTCTCCCCCCCGTCCCCCCGCCCCGCAATCTGGAATTTGCATACACAGCTGGTACCTGTGACCACCATCCTGTGTATGCAAATGAGGATGCGAATGAGGTTGCAAATGAGGAAAGGGATGAATATGCAATAAGCAAGAGACAGTGAAAAAAACTCAGAAACAGCCACTATTGTCTTTTTTGCTAGTGTCCTGGTGTGTTCTGCTCTGACCATCTGTCTCAGTGGACACAAGCTTTCACTGGTATCAACTCTTATTTCCTAACAGCCGTGTTTGCTGTTCATAACACACCTCCTCGTTGGGCAGTAAACCCCAAGATCGACTGTTCCCGGGTTCTAGAAAGAGCTCCACGGGCTGAACAGGTTTGAGAAGTACCTGTTAGCTGATGCATTTACACCAGCTACCAGTGGAAGAAAAGCTAGTGAGCTGTGGATTTCCTTTTGTCCAGTAAGCTGGCTGCCCAAGGGGTGAAGGCGGCACAGAACCAGGGTGAGTGCCTGAGCGCCACGAGCGTCCCGGTTCCCATGGAGACCGCCTGACTTATGTGCTTGGGATCCAGGACACGCGGGAGGATGTTTCTTGGATTCTAACACCTTTTTCTTTTTGTGGATGCTGGTGTGGCTTGAGCACCCCGTTTATGACAGATTATTAAACACCAGGCATTTTTCAGCCGAGGGCAGAGGAAAGCCTGGCTTTGGTCTTTCCTACTCACTACACCTAAGGCACTGTTGTCAGGGCTTTGCTACCCTCCTCCCACCCATTTCCTGTTCTTGGGATAGGTTCTATTATCCCAGTGACAGATGAGCAACCAGTGGCTCACCCGGGAGCACAGGTAACAGGTGGTGGAGTGGAGATCTGACCCCTGTCTGTCCTGCTCCAAAGCCTATACCGCCAACCACTGAGCTATACAGCTCAGTCCATGCAAGGGGAGGTTCCATCTTTCAGGCAGCCGTGGGAGCTCCGAAGGGACCAGCCATCCCTCACCACACCCATGCACCTTTCCAAGAAGAGCCTCTGGCAAACACAGGTGCCGTTTCTTTGGTCCCAGTCACCGGTGACGGCACATGGCACTCTGCAGGGAAACTTCTCTCCACTAAGGCCATTTCTGACCCGGGGTGGAGAGCTCTCACTAACAGCCACTGCCCTGGAGGGGACACTTGAATCCTGAACTGAGCGGCCACTCCACACACTCAACCCAACAAAGGCCTGGGAGGGTGGGGATGCCAGCTTTAACAGGCCTGTCCTCCCCTTCCCTCCCTTGGGATCCTGCCCACCTTCTGGTCGCTTTGGTGATGCCTGGGGCCTCTTAGGAGGAGGCCTCAGGAACAGCTTACGTAAAGAGAACAGACAGGGAATCCAGTCCATACACAAAAAAGGGCAAGAAAGAGGGAGAGTTTGTTTTTCCACCCATCCCCTCTAGACATCTAGCTGAGGGTGCTGAAGGTCAAGTTCACAGCCATCTCCCACGATAACAGAAATGTGACCTGTTATCCATTGGTCCCTATACATCAGGCACAGTGCCAGGCACTGTATACATATTAGAGCATCCAATCCCTAATTCTGTGAAACGGGTGCTAATCTTAGCCCCAACTCATAGATGAAAACAGCACTAAGAGATCCAGTACCCCGAGCAAGGCCAGGGAGCTCCTGAGAGGAGAACCGGGTCTTCCTCACTCTGCACACCTGCTCTTAACTGCCGTCCTTGGTGGCTGGGTCCCTCACTCACGAAAAAGTCTCTACCAATTCAGGTAATGTCACATTAGCTTTGCAGTTGGGCAGACCTGGGCCTGGGTCCTGCCTACCCCTCACCCAAGTGACCCTGGGCAGGCGACTTAACCCCTTGGAGCCTCCGTTTACATTTCCGTCTGTTTTAATACTTACCTTGCAGGGTCACTGGGAGACATGTAAAAGGGCTGGTGTAAATGCCCGCCACTGTGACCGTCACAGAGAACGTGCTCAGAAAACGTCAGCATCGCTCGGGGAGGCGTTAGCCTCACTGGAGGGGACGCCACCTGGGCTGCGGTCCCAGCTCTGTCCCTCGCAAACAGCAGCTCTTGGCAGTAAATTGGGGATAACACGGACCCCTTGCCTGACTCACAGTTGGTGCATAGCAAATCCAAGCTTCCTCCTTATTTTTCCTTTAAATGCCTCTGTCTCTCTACCCTAGCGCTTGGGATCAGCTGACTTTGAGATCCTTATCTAAAGCCTCAGAAGTGATGCAAAGCCCACGAGCACGTGGTCACATGAAACATATCTGAGACATTTCTGACAAGAAATCCCACCAGAGGTCGGCCACAGTGTCGTCTGCCACCTTTGCCATCGTCCTGACGACAAGCCTGATTTAATGACGGTGTGATGGCGGCTGAGACTGGTGGGGTTGATGGGGTGGGCAGTGCAGCTCTGCAGTAAGAGCTAGACAGCCTTAAGGTGAAACTCCCGGCCCCACTGCTTTCTCGGCAGGTCACTCGGTATCTCTGGGCCTCAGCTTTCCCATCTGTGAAATGGAGACAGCAAGGGCTGTCTCTCGGGGAGCGTGAGGATCAGATGGGATGCTGTGTGCGTGGCACCCGGCGCCTGCCCAGCATGTAGCAGGTGCTTCCTGAGGGCGAGCTGCTTCCCCTTCTCCAGATGAGAAGCCAGTCCCGGGCCTGCCGACAAGCCCTTCCCGCTCAGGTGGGAAGCCTGGACTCGAGGCCGGGTGTACGGCACAGGCCTCAAATCCCAGACCTTGACCGTGATTCATTTCAGAGCCACGGTCTTTACTCTTCTGGGGGACGAGGCTGGTCTCCCACCCGAGGGCAGACACGTCCTCTGCTCCTTTGCCACCCACTTTCTACCTCTCGCTCCCACCTCCTCCCAGGGCGAGGGACCCTCTCTATTCAGCAGACGTGGAAGGCCTGGGCCAGTTTCCTGGACCAACGGGCCATGACCAGCCTGGGTCTGCAGAGAAAGCGGAGGTTCTAGGTAGCAGGGAACTTGTGCCAGAGTCCGGGGTGGGTGGGGGTGGGAGAAGCCATCAAGGGCACCGGGGCAGCCAGAGAAGCAGGGGCCGCTCCCTGGGGAGAGGGACAGAGAGATAGCTCTGCTGGCCACGCATAGCTGAAACCAGGAGTCATCAACCCCAGTGTCCCTAGAGGGCCAGGCAGGCAAATAAATGAGAGAAGTATTAATATCTGTCAAGTGCTTAAAATAGCACCGGAGCACAGTAAACAGAGAGAT